TTAGATATTAATAAAGGAACATGCTTTGTAGAACAAAGATCTAACTTGTTTAGAATACATAATACAAAACATTGATGCTACAGAGTCATAGAAAACTTAAGAGCCTTATACTTATAGCATTTATTTGGAGAAGTTTTGATGTGGTACTTAAATTCTGTGTGCCCCCTTCACACGTGTGCGCATGTGCATACACACACATAAACACACTAGGTCTACCTTTTTTGAAGCCCACCATGTGTGTAGCACCTTGCGGGGCCCTGGGAGATATGGTGAGTCCCAACCCATGCTCCATCCCTTCTATAAACTGCCCACACGAATGGTCAGCCTCACAGGGTTGCCGTGGGACTGTGCGTCCATGTGCCTTGTCATTCCTAGATGATGTGTAGACAGTGTAATAAAACGGCCCTGGTGGTACAGAATAAAATGGTTTCAGGAATCCGAATGTCAGATGCAGGTGGCATCACTGGTGAAAGGCAGTTGTCATAACCATGTAAGGTAATACCGGGGTTTCAGATGATGTGGTCAGGGCAATTATTCGGTCCACCCTCATTCAGGATGCCAGCAATCTGGAAGCACCTCACTCTGGATAGGGAGAAAACTGTCTCTACTAACCAGAGAGCCTCTCCCCAAAGACCTGCGGAACATTCTCCCACCTGACACTTCCTTACCTGCCCTGCTGAGAACCTGTCCTTTACGCTCGCCATCACAAATGCTAACTTGTGTAGGATTTAGGAATCGAAGAGATCATTTGTATCAAAGTTCCAACAGAGTCCTCTGCAGGACCATTTCTGGGGGCTTTAGGAGTGAAAAAATAATTCCCAAAGTTATCAGGCAGCAATTGTCTATCCACATTACATACACCTCTGTGCTGTATTAGTCAGATTCCTATTCACTCTTTCATCAAATATTTATTGAGGTGTTACTGGGGTCAGATCCAGGGCCAGGTGCTGGGCTCACAGTAGTGAACTAATAGACAATTGCTGATCTTGCAGAGGTAACATCTGATATGAAGAGAGTCATACAATAAGGAATTACAGTAAGTGGTGATGAACATTCTGACTGGGAAAATGTACTGTCCTCTGGGGAGGCATGTGGGGGTCTACTACATAATACACTAGTTGTAACATAATGGAACTCTAAATGTAACATGCTGTATCACATATAATTAATAAGTAAAACCCAGGGAAGAAGATAAGGATATCATCAAAAAGTAAGCTAATTTGGAGGAGTTGATGTACCCCTAAAGCACAAGGGGGAAGTGAAGGCATAGTGAATGAACAAAGAATTCTTTTTTTTTTTCTTTTTTTTGCAGTTTTTGGCCGGGGCTGGGTTTGAACCTGCCACTGCCAGCATATGGGGCTGGCACCCTACTCCTTTGAGTCCCAGGAGCTGCCCCAACAAAGAATTCCTTTATTCTTCTTTCTTATTTTTCTGTTAAAATAACATTAATTTATACACAAATGTTTCTTAGGGGTAATTGTGGTTTCATTTTTCAAAATACCAGATGTTATTTATAAGTCACACCAAACAAACAAACAAAAAAAACTACTAGAGGTCAAGAACATACAGCCCAGAGACAGCCTTGGATTTGTTTCTCTGGGTGCGTAAAGAAATCCTTAGCGCCAGCCACATTTTCAAACCCCAGCTCTGGTTCTGCCTGAGAACTCAGCTTTGTTACTTTACACACAGCTCCTTCTGGCCTCTCATGTATATTGGCTTGAAACTTCATAAAATTAAAAATCATTGCATAATTCCTTCTCTTTAGAAACATTTTGGTTCTTTTTTTCCTCTGTCAAATTCAGTAACTAGAAGGACAAAAATTCAGGGACATACCCAGGAATACTGAGACACCAAATGCCCCTCTTTGGGGCAGGGCACACGGGATTTCTACACGCACCTCCTTATGGACTGTGAATTGCTGAAAGTGTGCCCAGACCAGGCATGAGAAGCAGAGATTCTTTCTCTCATGGTCCAGGCACAAACAATAATGTGGCTCCATCTTCTGAAGTTAGCAAAATGGCAGAATGTGTATCTTTGGAGTGAAAGAGGCAAGGGGTAACAGAGGGAACTTACAGAATTTCAGAGGATAGTCCCTTATTTGAATTGCAAATGTCAATGCCAAAACAAGCACATTTTTCTTATTTTGATCTAGGTTTCTCAACCTCAGTACTACTGACACTATGAACCAAATAATTCTTTTTTGGGGGGGCGGGGTTTGTCTGGGACTTTGTAGAATATTTCACAGCAACCTTGGCTTCTACCCAATAGAGGGTAGTGAAAACTCTCCCATTCTCCCACAATCCACACCAGTTGTGACAACCAAAAAATGTCTCCAGACACTGACAAACTTCCTCTGGGAACAAAACAGCCCCCAGATGAGAACCACTGTTTCAGATCATATATTCCCCACAAGCCTTGTGGATGTAGCTGAGAACCTTGACAATACCGCCCCGCTCCCAGAAGGGTCCGAGCCAGAAGACGGGACTTCCAGAGAGGATCTGGGGGCAGCTGCTTGCCCTTCACTTTGTTTCCCAGATTCTGGAAACATCATTTTTAAAACCTTTTGATTCTAAGAAAATGTATCAAGTTATTTCATCTCATAAAATATCTACCACTAATGGCAGGTTGTTAAATAAATCACCTTCCGGCTCAACTTGCCCAACTACTGAGAGATTATTTTAGTCAACACAAGATTTTGCTAGAGCTCCTGAGTTCCCAGTGTGGAAAGCCTTTCTAATTGCTCATTCTTGTGTTATTTTCTGGCTTCATTTACTGCCAATAGACATAAGTTACTGATATTCACCGGCTATGCCCTTAGGACCTAATTCTAGAATTACTGTACCAATGGTATTCATAAGAAAAATATGTAAATATTTATAAGTAACTTAGCTAACTCACTTGAACAAATGAGCCATTTGTATTCCTATTTTCTTTCCTTTTTGTTTTTGAGACAGAGTCTCAAGCTGTCACCCTGGGTAGAGTGCTGTGGCGTCACAGCTCACAGCAACCTTAACCTCTTGGGCTTAAGCAATTCTCTTGCTTCAGCCTTGCAAGTAGCTGGGACTATAGACACTTGCCACAATGCCTGGCTATTTTTTTTGTTGTTGCTGCAGTTGTCCTTGTTGTTCTAGCTGGCCTGGGCTGAGTTCAAAGCCTCCAGCCTCGGTGTACGTGGCTGGTGCTCTATCCACTGAGCTATGGGTACCACCCGTGTTCTTATTTTCTTCTCCTTCTAAACTTTCTCCCTTGGCAAACTCTTACAACTGTCACTTCTAACTAGAGGCCTCACAAATCTATTTCTAGTGCCAACATTTTCCTCTGGTTGCAATCTTTAATTTCAGTTTCTAAACATCACGAATGAATATATGCAATTTCATGAAAATCACATCAACTTCACTAAGTTTCTACTATGCTAAGCAGCTAAACATTTCTTGCTCTAAAATTGTTAATTATCCCTGCCGATATCTTCATCAAAAAATAGAATCTATTTCTCTACTCCTTAAATATGGGGTATAAACTGGCAATTAACCTGAATTGACAATGGGACATTTCAAAAACAAACACAAACAAACCCCCCAAACACTTGGGGTCTGAGTTTCTTAATTCTCCCTGCCATCACCATAGCACATATAACCTGCTAAAAAATAAGAGACTATAGAGAAATGCACCTGTCTTCCCAGCTGGACCTATCTTAAGTCAACCCAGCCAGCCAGTCCACCAAACAACTGATCAAAGACGTATGAGCAATGCAACTGAGCCCAGCAAAAGAACAGCACAGCTGAGCCCAGCCCAAAGTGTCTGCCACAGTAGACATACAAGGCTCTCTATGAGGTGTCCTCAAACTACGGCCCATGGGCCACATGCAGCCCACCTAGGACATTCATCCAGCCTGCCGGGTGTTTTTGCCACCGCTGCCTGTCCTGCTTAGCAGCCGACTCGTCCCGGGGCCCACAGTCCAGCCCTCCAATGGTCTGAGGGACAGTGAACTGGCCCCCTGTTTAAAAAGTTTGAGGACCCCTGGAAATCTAAACCCTTGCCTGTGAATGCTTTGCTTTTAACCCTCCACAGTTTTATACATTGTTGGTAACAAAAATATATTCACTGAATAAACCAATGAAAATGAGTCTAAAAAACAAATAAAAAAGTTCAATTAGTTATTTTTTTCCAGTTTAACCCGTAACAAGCTTATTTTGACTTAATCTCCCAGCTTGATTTTTAGGAAGTCAGGTGTCAGGGACACGCTCCAGTTGACACCCTTACTTCTCCTTTGCTCCGTCCCTCTCAGGCTCTCCCTGGAATGGGAGCCTCATCCTGCATAGTCTCTGCCCACATAAACATGGGGCTTTTGATAGTTTTACGGTTGGCGCTTATAGAATTGACCAATAAAGTCCCGTAAGACATTTTAAAAGACTAGAGCCAACTTGATTCTCCACATGTGAAACATTTAATAATTATAAAGATCATCTAGAATATTCAAATATTCCTATCTCCACCTGGTAGAAAGGAACAGAAACTTCAGGCTCAGTTAAATAGTGGGCGTTTTCCTGAGGCTGTGGAATTGTAGCTAATGGTTAGGACCCTAAATATTTCTAGGTGGCTAACTGACACACTATATTAATAATATTTTATAAAATTCTGCTTTTAGGCTATTTAGGTTCATCTTTAGGAATCAGAAATATATGTGAGGACATATGGTCTTCTTCTCTATAAGTACAGAAGAAAATTACTCTACTTTATGTTCCAAAGGGGTGGGGGGCTATAGATTAAAAAGAGATTGGAAGAGGAAACACACAATGCAGTGGTATTCCTAATATTTTGGTTCATAATCTGAGTGATTTCTGAGGTGTTCATTTTCTCATTGTGCTACGCATACTCTTTTGTAATAACTGTGACAAAAATGGAAGCTAACACTGACCCCTGCCCTGTATTGTTCTAAGCACTTTTAAAAATTGTACTAATGTAAGATTTACTGCCACCTAGGAAGTATATGCATTAATATTGTTCCTATTTTACAGCTCAGAAAATTAAAGCCCAGATAAAGTAACGTCCCACAGCCATTAGCCATTCCAATTCCAGAAAGTGAGCTCTTATCATTCTGCTACCAAATATTTTGAAAAGAAGAAAAAGTAACAAGAAGACAACAGAGCCCACTGATTATTTCATAGGACAGTCACACCAGGCCATTCTCTCACTCTTGTGGACACATCTGGCTGTTAAAGATTCTTCAATGACTACCTGTCTATTGTAAGAGATTTCCATCTCCCTAGGTCTAGAAAGTTGTCTTCTCTACCTATCTAAAACTACATATCCAAAGATCACTTCAACTCTTAGCCCTGCTACAAAGCCTTTCCAGAGGTTGAATGAGCAGTTCTGCTACCAATGACTGCTTGAGACTAGTGAAGTAACTCCGTCACTCCTACTTCAACTACTCATGAAAGGGATATAATGATGCAGGAGGTTGCTTCGATTCTAAAATACAAATCCGTGTTATCTTCCTCATTTTTGAACTCACACAGATTATAACCTCAATTTAGTTTCTTTGGTTTTCTATTTATCCTAGTGAGCTACTTAAAAATATCATGCGTTTCCTTCTCCTCCTCATTAATCAATAACTAAATTAATAGGCCATTAGCCCTGTGCCAGATGTTTTACTTGGCATCAAAGGGATCAAAACAATGCCTACAGTGTATCATTAGTTTTCACTTCCTAACTAGGGAAATTTTCCAGTCATGCCTGAGTCAAGGGCTGAGGAATAACTAGTTGGGGAGAGTAGAGTGTGCACTTTCAAATGTGCCGTCGCAGGGAATCCTCTTGGCCTCAGCTAACCTCACACACCTCTGTATGGAGTGTCATCCCTTCCCCCTAAGAAAAGTTCAGTAAGGAAAGAGCAGGAGGTGGCAGAGCAGATGATGTGTCAGATGCCTCTGGGTGGGAGAAGGCAAGCAGACTGTGATTCTCACATGGTAAGGACCTGGCAGACTGCCACATACTGCCCTGCGCTGTCCACTCCTTTTGCAAGAACAGAACTCTGGGCCGGGCACAGTGGCTCATGCCTGTAATCCTAGAACCCTGGGAGGCCACAGCAGGTGTATCCCTTGAACTCAGGAGTTCAAGACCAGATTGAGCAAGAGCAAGACTCCATGTCTACTAAAAATAGCTCGGTGTTGTGGTAGGTGCCTATAACCAGTCCCAGCTACTTGGAGGCTGAGGCAAGAAGACTGCTTCAGCCCAAGAGTTTGAGGTTGCTGTGAACCATGATGCCACAGCACTCTACCCAGGTTGACAGGGTTAGACTCTGTCTCAAAGAAACGTAAAATGAAATTTAAAAAAGAACAGAACTCTGGGCACAGGGCTGCCCAAGATGAAGACTATACTTCCCACAGGGGAGTGTTGCCATGTGACCGTGTTCTGGCCACAGAGATGAGAACAGAGACATCCTCTCTCCCCTTCCTCCTGCTGGGAGGCTGGAGTGAGGATGTACTATCTGGGAATAGGAAGCCTGTGGACTGCAAGGTAGACAAACGAGATCTGAGACACGAGGATCTCGGGTGATGTGGTACAGCTGATACTGTCCTAAGTTTATGTGAAAGAAAATTAAAATTCTGCCTCATTCCATCTGAGCACATAAGTACCATATTGATCAACAAGTTCCAATTTAGTGTTGAGTACGTGCAGTGTTTTTCCTTTCTTGCTACACTTCACTTACAAGAATGATCTCCAAGTCCATCCAGGTTGGTACAAAAGATACTAATTCACCATTTATCTTATGGCTGAGTAGTACTGCATGGTATACACACACCACATTTTACTAATCTACTCTCATAAATTCATACTTAACTGACACAATGCACATATTTTGGGTGAAGGGCACACTTAAAACATTGGCTTAAAATGTACAAAAGCAAATTATGTTACCAAAACGTGTGTAGCCTTGTCATATTCTGAAGTAAAACATAAACTAAAAAATAAATGTCAAAAAAATAAATAGAATCATAGGTCAGTATAAAAACAATTCTGCATTATTTCAGCTAAAAAGCATCCTAATACTGTAACCCTTTTGGTTTTCTTTTTTGAGACATAGTCTCAGTCTGTTGCTCAGGCTTGAGTGCTGTGATATCAATCTAGCTCACAGCAACCTCAAACTCTTGGGTTCAAGTGATCCTCTTGCTGCAGCCTCCCAAGTAGCTGGGTTTACAGCTGCGTGCCATAAAACCTAGCTAATGTTTATATTTTTAGCAGAGACAGGATCTCGCTCTTGCTCAGGCTGGTCTTAAACTCCTAAACCCAAGGATCCTCCTATCTTGGCCTCCCAGAGTAATAGCGTTACTATTTTTGAGCCACTGCGCCCAGCCTGCATTCCTTTTTTGCTTCTTTCCAACCCCATCCCTCTTGCCTATCTGATTCCTATTAATTCTTTTCCTGTAAAGCCTACTTGTTCAGCATAGCCTCTGTACTCCTTTTTACCTTCCCTCTCTCAGGCTTTATTACAGATACTCCTCTACCTCTCTACATCATACTTATTACATTTATCACAATTTATGTGTACAAGGGTCCCCCCTTATCCATGGAGGGTACATTCCAAGACCCCAGTGGATGCCTGAAACCACAGAAAGCAGTGAATCCTATATCTCCCAAGTTTTTTCCTAAACATATATACTTATGTGTCTTAGTCCATTTCATATTGCCATAAAGGGTTACCTGAGACTGGGTAACTTATAAAGAAAAGAGGTTTATTTAGCTCAAGATTCTGATGGTTGGAAAAGTTCAGGATTGGTGTCTATACCTGGTGAGGGCCTCAGGCTACTTCTATTCATGGTAGAAGGTGAAGGGGGGCCTGATATGTGCAGAGATCACACTGCCAGAGAGGAAGGCTGGGGGACAGGTGCCAGGCTCTTTTTTTTTTTTCAATTTATTTTTTTTATTAGATCATAGCTGTGTACATTGGTACTGTCATGGGGTATAGTGTGCTATTTTTATATACAATTTGAAATATTCTTCCAGGCTCTTTTTAACAACCAGCTCTAGGGGGAACAAAGAGAGCAAGAACTCACCCCCAAGGGAGAACATTAATCTATTTCTAACGGATCTGCCCCCATAACCCAAACACCTCCTCTTAGACCCCACCTCCAAAACTAGAGATCAAACATCAACATGAAATTTGGAGGAGACACATATCCAAACCACAGCACTATGATAAAGCTTAATTTATCAATTAGTCACTAGAATGAGACTAGAAAGAGACTAGAATTATGAACTAGAACAATTATAACAATATAGTAATAACAAAATGTGACCTCTCTAAATATCTTATTGCATGTAATATGTTTGGACCTTGGTTGACCACATGTAATTAAAACCGTGGAAAGTCAAACAGTGGATAAAGGTGAAGGGCTAGAGTATTTATGTATGTCATTGATTTTGGGCTGTATCATTAGCCTCCAAACAAAAATTGTGCTTCTCCATCACAGGCTATTCTATGCCCAGCACACAGAAAACAGTCAAATATTTGCTGAGTAGATGACTGAAAAAATCAGAAGATCTTCCTACTCCACTTGGAACTCTAGAACATCCTCAGTAAGTCCTGACAGCCTCTGCATTTGGGCTTGCTTAAATAAGATCATGGGAGATAAGTGTTAAAACAGTAGATGGTTCTCAAATATATGCAAACAGCATTGTACTTGGAGATAGTGGTGCTTTAAAAAAAAAAAAAAGAAAGAAATTAATAGGTAAAACGAAAACCTCTCCATCTCCAAAAACAATACCTAAACTATTTAAAGGAGAATCACGTCTCTAAATTTTCAATGTTTGTTCTTTACTTTTTCATGTTTTTATCATCTAAGGCAGTGATACCAAAGGGTCAAGAAACATGGCGGGAAGGTAATTATATTGACGTCTATGCAAAGCAGAAAAAGATTATCTTCACTTCCTCAGCCTGAGCACCCGAGAGTGGAAGGGCTCCTGGAGAACCATTTACTTAGGTGAACCACATATCTGAGGTCCTTCCTTTCATTAACTGGGCAAACAAGACGTTTGTAAGCTTGCTAGATCAGTCTCCACAATAGTGTTTGGGAGTTAAATATTTTTCATCAAACATTGGATTTTTCCTTAATGTAGTGAATGCTACAAATCTTCTTCTTCTTTTTTTTTTTTGAGACAGAGCCTCAAGCTATCCCCCTGGGTAGAGTGCCATGGCCTCACAGCTCACAGCAACCTCCAACTCCTGGGCTCAAGCGAGTCTCCTGCTTCAGCCTCCCAAGTAGCTGGGACTACAGGCGCCCACCACAGCACCGGCCGTTTTTTGGTTGCAGCCATCATTGTTGTTTGGCGGGCCCAGGCTGGGGATTCAAACCCGCCACCTTAGGTGTATGTGGCTGGCGCCTTAGCCGATTGAGCCACAGGCGCCGAGCCGCTACAAATCTTCTTAAGTGTCTCAGTGGTTTCAGGCTAAGGAGAGATTTTTCTCTGTCACGTGAAACAAGACAAATTAGCCATTTGGCCCTCAAACTTTACTAATGACCATTCCTTCAGTACGGCACTCTGGAAGACCAAAGGCCTTAAAAGTAGCTGTTCAGATAAATTTCCAAAATATGAGATTCTGAAAATATTACTGAGAGAGGATTTAAACATGGTTCTCCATTTGATCTATTCCTCACTCTCAGACCAAGGCAATGACTGCTGTATGTTTTTTAACTATGAAAGATAATTTTTTAATATTTGGTTGTTATAATAAAATGTCTAACTGCAATATCAATACATCACTTAAAAGCACACCCTCCTCTGCTTTGTAATACCAGAGTCCTAAGTGGACACCCTAAAGCTCAGGACCACCAGCCCACAGACAGTAAACTCTTTGTTCATAATTCACTCACCTCTGTAATTTCTGTAGATATTTGTTAGACTTTTGTTATATAAAAATACCTCAATAGTAAATGACATTCTCTTTCCCTTTCCCTAACATTCTCTCTCTCTGTCTCTCATGCACACAATCTAGAGCCATTAGCAAATTTTCTAGGAAAGAGACTGTTTTGGCCCTGGCCCATATTTGACCCTGGCCCATAGAACTAGCAAAGGCAGAGCATTGCTATGGGAGGACATGGAAAACACACAGGACTTTGAGCTGCTCCTGGCTTTGCCCCCCATGACTGTAACTTAACTTTCTGGCTTGCTCATCTGTACTATGGAAATAGTAAAGACTACACATCTTTCAGGACAGGCTTAGAAGGCCAGGTGAGCCACTGTTTCAAGAGCACAGGTTGGGCCTCAGGCTGAATTATGATACAAATACTGGGCCAATCATTTTACGAGTTGTGTGGCCGCAGTATAAATGTACTTACACCAGAGTGTCTGATGCATGATAAATGTTCAACAACCAATCCCTGTCAT